TGCTTCTGGAGGGGGCTTCTCATAGCGAGTGTGAAGGTTAGCAGCGCTGTAGTTTCAGGCACTATTGCTTGAGTTAACTGAACCTCTTTGACAAGTAGTTTTTATTTTGGCAAGAGATGGGGAAAAGCCAGTTCCTTCCGTGGACTGGCACTGCATCCTCCAAGAGTATCTCTGCAAGTCGCCAGCGATGCTAACAGGGAACTAGGACCAGAGAAAAGTCAGTGACAGTGACAGAGGCAGCCTGGGGGTAGACTAGGGGTTCTACGCCCAACTCTCCAAGGCTGGGCCTCTAAAAGCCCTGTGCTAAATGAGCCATACTGAGCCTGCCCCCACGGCTACTCGGCCCACAGAGGACACCAAGCACAGGCGCAGGTCTACACCCAGCTGGCGCTAAGAGAAGTCCAGAGTCATTTTCCCTCTTCCTGTCGCAGCCGGCTAAGTGTCCTACTGTTTTATCTTCTAAGTCTCTCCCCCTCCCCCCATTCTGGTCCAGCTGAACCACTCTCTTGTTCTCTGGTCCTACTGGCAGCCCTGCGGCAGCTCTAATGGGCTAGGAAGCTTCCACACCTCAGCACCCCTAAAGTCCCCACGGGAACCCCCCCAGCACCACCACTACATACACCTCCAGCTCCTGCAAATAAACAAATTCAAAGTGAACAACGTGGTGCTGTGGAAATGTTGCTTCAAGACAAGTTCCTGGGCTCCAGCTTCCAATCAGACTGGACCCCAAGTGCCTCCAAAGTAAAAACTCTTTTGTTGTCACTGCTGCAGCCGGACCACTCTTTCCAAAATGGAAATCTGACCACGTGCCCTTGTTTCCTCACACATGCAGCTTAAAACCCCTGGATGCTAGGAGGTGAAGATAAAACTCCTCAGTTACCCACCTCCCATTCCCCAGCCCAGCCCACCCCACATCCCCCTCCTTCCCTTTCCCATCCCCCACTACAGACTTGCGCACTTGCTCTGCCCACGGTCCACACTGGTCTTCCCTCCCTTCGCAGACCAGTTCACACATCGTTCAACAATCAGACGACACACCTCTTCCTCAGGGAAGTCCTCCCTCAAGGTCCTTATCAGGTCAAATGCTCCAATGAGAGGCTCTCATGGCATCTAACTCCTCACTTCCCAGACATGTGCCACACCTGTGATTTACACCTGTTTGTGTGTCTGTCGCCTTAATGTCAGCCTCTCCAAGTAGCTACGTGCCAGAGGTGCAGAATCACCTCTGGTTTTCACTCATCACTGCACTCGGGCATCTCGCACAATGCCCGGGACGAGGCAAATGCTCAGTACATTTGATGAGTCGGCAAGTAGATGGATGAACCGATAGACGGGTGGATGGACAGACAGATAAAGAGATGGACACATGATGGACAGACTGGTGGATGGATGGCCTGGTAGACAGATGGATGGTCAAACTGTTGGGCAGATAGATGGACAGAAGGAGGGACAGATGGTCGAAGAGCACATTTGCTCCCACGGTCAACCCCTCTCCAGAGCCCTCGATCCCACCCTTTCCCATCTCCTCAGCATCACTCTCCAACAATTCTCCTGCCTTTTTTATTTTCAACCCCAGAACCATCTCAGACCAGTCATGTGACCTTGGGCAAGTTGCCTCGCCTTTCTGAGCTTGATTTTTATATCCACTGTAGGAAGAGGATAATCATATCAACCTCAATAGGACTATTTTGAAGATTACATGAGATAACGCACACATGGCACAGAGTACAGTGCCCGGCACGCAGTATAAACACTTGACAAATGTCAGATGCTCCTGTGGCTCTTTTCATCATTCTTACTATTACACACCCCTCAGCCTTCCTTCAGCGCCACTCCCCCCTTGAACTGCTACTATCCTTCGTCTGCCTTGCATCGCCAAATGGCTCCAGACAGAATCCTGCCCTGGCTGATTTCACATCCTCAAACAGTGGGCACCAGCCCTCCCCCTACAACTCTACTGAAAGTGTCCTCCTGACGGTCACCTGACAATCAAACCTGCCATCCTCTGCTCAGCTAACGCTCACCTAGACCTCTGTGACATCTGGCCCTGGGTACCAGCCTGCCTTAAGCCCCCCTCCCCAGCTTTGGTGCCAAGGATGGCTCCTGGTTTTATCTTCCAGAATTTCTCATTGTTTCCTGCTCTGAGCCCTTGAGTGCGTCTTTTCCTTCTTCCTCCCCCTAAACGTTGGCATAGCCTAAGGTTACACACACTGTCCACTACCCCACACTTTTCCCCTTAACAATGCCATTACTCCCACAGCAATACCATCTACTCCCCTCTGTGGATGGCACCCAGACCCCCAGCACCAGCTGTGCGCTGCCTCCCACAAGCTGCCTCAGATTTCCTGAAGGTACCTCGAAGCCGATACTTCCCAAATGAGTCCCATCAAATGTCATCTGCTCCCTGCTCCCTGATTTCAGTTAACGGCCCCACCATCGCCCAGGACCAGAGCTTAAAATCCAGACTCCTCTCACCACAGCAGCCTCAGAGCTCACCAGCTGCCAAGCATTATTTTTTGTCCCATAGTTCTGTGCCTGGGTTATAAGCCCCTGAGGGTGTGTAGCTTGCCTCCCCTTCTTTTTTCTACTCTCCACAAGATACTAGAGAATGCAAAAGGAACATAATAAATGCTTCTAGAACTGACAAGAAGAGATACTGCAGAGTAACAGGGAACTTGCATATACTGCTGGTGGGAGTGTAAGCTGGTGTAAACACTTAGGAAGGTGATCTGACAAGACCTAGTAAAGCTGGGGATGATTATATCCCACAACCCAGAACTTCACTCTTGGGTGTATGCCCTGGAGAAACTTTCCCACGGTCCACAAGACGACTTGCACAAGAATGTTCACAACAGCACTGAACACATAACAAGAATTAAAAACAGAAACAACTAAATGTCCATTACATCACTCAGGATCCTAGCAGGAAATAACTGGCATGCTCGAATTAGGATAATTAAAGGAGTGTTTAAAAAGGGATTATTTGGGATGCGTTGAGTGTAGGGAATCTACGAAAGCCAGTTCAGTAGCCCAGAGATAGAAAAAGCGGAGCTGTTGCCACTCCCACATGTACGAGCAGGGAGGGAGGAGGTGGCTACGCAAATCTGGAAAGAGAGGGCCCAGCAGAAAGGCCGTCTGGACAGCAGCAGTGACCTTCAGGTGAGGAACACAGCCAGCCCTGAGCACCCCAACAGGGAGCAGACTGGGGGCATAAATACCTTGACTTTTGCTGCCCCCTCCCTCTGATTTCCAGTTGGGACTCCCTTGGTGGACCCCAATGGGAAGCCAGAAGGCAATGAGCCCAGTGATGTAACCCCTAGAGGTCAACCTCCCAGTGCACAGGGGGGAAGGGAGAGAGTGGATTTGGAGAGGCAGAGGGAAGATACTGAGCACATCCAGGAACAGAATGTATGAAGTATACACTCACAGAACAGAACATTGACCCCCAGGAAAATGAGTGAACTAGAACTACTTATAGCAATACGGATAAATCTCTAAAACCTCGTGTTGGGTGAAAAAGGCATATTAAAACAGGTAGAGAACGGTGCTACAGTAGATGGTATTTTCCAAGACCCACCATAGCTATATTTCTGGCCCCACATGCCCTTCCAGAACCCTGCCACTCCCCCACTCAGAGCTGCAAAGAAGGAACAGAACAAGGTTTTAGGACAGAGAATTACTACTTTTAATCAGGTAGCCAGGGAGAGAAGTTGTCCCAGAAAGTGACTGAACTTGAAACTAGGTGTGAAGGTTGGGAAGGAGCCTCACCCACCAGCCCGGCTATCAGCGACGGCAGCAGGGAAGAGTAAGGGCCAAGGTCCTGAGGAGGGGCAGCCTTCGGCTCTCTTAAATGCAGTTTCAGAAAACCAGTGTGGCAGGAGACCCGGGCAAGGGAAGGAACGACAAGCATGAAGCAAGAACAATGAGCGTGGCGCCTGGCATGGTGGTCAAGTTCACGCTCTCCTTCTGTAGCCCAGGGGTTCCCGGGTTCAGATCCTGGTGTGCACCGACACACTGCTTGTCAGGCCGCAATGTGGCGAGGTCTCATATAAAGTAGAGGCAGATGGGGACCGATGTTAACTCAGGGCCAATCTTCATCAGCAAAAAAACAAAAAACAAAAAAACAACAAAAAAAAGAAAGGTGAGCACAACCCAGATCATGCTGGGCACCTGGGGTGACCTCCCTGAGGTTACAAAACTGGTGAAGGCCTGGGAGGGAATTCAACTCTGGACAGCAGAAAGCCGCAGAGGGGACCAAAGAGCCAGGACAAACCTCCCTCCTGACTCACTGCTCCGGGACTGAGACCCGCCGCCCCGGCCTCTGCTGGACACCGGGCTACAGAAACACTTTCATCGGCGAAGGCTTCCCTAGGCGATGAGTACCGACAACCCCACTTGTCAGCGAGCCGCCTGTCCGCCTCCGCAGTCCACGCACTGGACTCCAGCCCCTCGGCCGCCCCGCCCTTCGTGCTAACGGGCACCGCGGACACGCCGGCGGTGACTCACTCTAGGGAATAACCGTGATTACGGGGTATAAAGTGCCCCACGGTGAACACCACAATAAAGTCAGCCGCATCCCACACGCCCCGAGCGCTCGTCCAGGGCCACGTCACCCCTGCTGTGGTGCCCGTTTTACAGATGGGGACGCTGAGGCCGAGCCTGCGGTCACGTGTCGCAGGCCGGCGTGGGGACCCAGCCTGACGGCAGAGCCCACGCTCCCGTGACTGTGCTCCGCTGCCCTCCTCCGGCCCCTCCCCTCTCAGGGGAGTCGGGTCAGGGTCACGCGGGGACCGGCCGGGCCCCCGCGCGGACATTGCGCTCTCAGCCGCGCCCCCGGGAGCCCGGCGTGCGCGCGGCGCGGCCGCTCTCGGGGCCCCGGGCCCGCGTGCAGGCCCTGAAGGGGTCCGGCTGGAGGCGCGCGCATCGGGCCGCGGGTTCCCGCGGCGGGAGGTTCCGCCGCCCTGAAGTCGTCCCCTACCCGGGCGCAGGGCCGGCGGTACCTGAGGGAAACGCGTCCAGGGTCCTGCCCCGGGCTCTGTGGACAACACCCCCCGCCTCGGCAGCCGACATGGCGAGCGACTTTCTGGCCTCGCCAGAGCACACTGCGCGGGAGGGAGCGGCGCGCCGCCACCCGGCCCAACCGCCCGGCAGGGTCCACCCCGCTCGGGGCGGCGCCCTCTGCTCGGGGCGGGGCGGGCGGGGCTCGGCGCTCGGGGCGCCGCTAGTGCTGCCTGGGCGGGCCGCCCCGCGAGCGGCCCCTCTGGGATCGACTGCGGCGCCTGGCGAGTGCAGGCCCTTGTCTGGGGCCAGCGAGCGCGCAGAGGGCTGAGCTCGGGGGCGGCCCTTCCCTAGAGGTGGGGTTCCCGGGTTTACGGCTGAGAGTACAGGACGCCCAGGTAAACGGGATTTCAGATAAGCAACGAAGGATCGTTTAGTGTAAGTATATCCCATGCAATATTTGGGAGATACTTATGCTAACATTTGCTTTTCATTATCTGACATTCCAATTTAAGTGGGGGCCTGTGTTTTATCTGGAAACCCTACCTGAAGGTGAAAAGGACCGGACCCTGCCTCAGGCAGTCTTCCAAGCCACCAGCTGTGATCTGTGACACTTAACCCCCAGCCTCTTCAACTTCCTAGTCCTCATCATCGTCGTTCCTTTATTATCCTCATCGCTCACTAAGCATCGGGCGCTGCTCTAAGCTTGGCGTGCAGCTCGCTGAAGAGCACCACAGCCCTAGGAGATGGGGCTGGCATTAGCCGCCTTTATCAGATGGGGAAACATGCTCAGAGAGGTGGAGCGGTTTGCACAAGGTGACACATGCCTAGAAAATTAGGGATCCGACCCAAACTAGGATCTGTCCAGCAAAAAGCCATTGCACTGAGCTGTTAAACCAGCGTTTGTCAAGCTTGCTAAAAATACAAATTCCGGGGTGGACCTACTGAATCTAAGTCTCCTGGTGTGTTTTTAAGTCCCCCCCAGGAGTTCTTATGATCTGCCAAGTTTGGGAAATTCTCTTTTTAACTACCTGCCTACATCTGAACACTGTTTGGGTGGCTAAAATGACCAGGATGACTGTCCTCTTATCTTAAGCAAGAGGCAGTAAATCATAGGGGTTAAACACACAAAGTGCCTAGGAGTGCTGGAGTCAGACTGCCTGTGACCAATTGCTGGTCTTATGATCTTGAAAATTACTTAGTTTCTCCATGCCTCAGTTTCCCTACCTGTCAAATGGGAACAACAGTAGTATCTAGGTCATAGGGTTGCTGAGAGGCTTAAATGAGTTGATGCATCAAAGTGCTTAAAACAATAGTTCTAACAGCAAATGACAAGTACTCAAGGACTATTAGCCATTATTGTTATCATTATTGTTAATCATTTTATCCCTATTCCCTGCATAAGGCCTGGCCCAGCAGAGGAGTCTCAGGAAATGTTCAAGGAGGGAATGAGTAAATGAGACTCAGAAGTCCTCCTAGTGGCCTCAAGGCCCTGCAAGATCCAGCCCTTGCCAGCCTCTCACCCGCTAACTTGGCAGCCACGGTCTTCTTTTGGTTCCTTAAACATGCAAATCCATTTCCCTCTTCGAGTGTGCAGTTCCTTCTGCTTAGAATGTATCTGCTTATTTAAATATCAAGGCCGGGGCCGCCTGTGGCGTAGCAGTTAAGTGCGCGCGCTGTGCTGCTGGCGGCCCGGGGTTCGGATCCCTGGTGCGCACCGATGCACCGCTCAGGCCATGCTGTGGCGGCGTCCCACATAAAGTGGAGGAAGATGGGCACAGATGTTAGCCCAGGGCCAGTCTTCCTCAGCAAAAAGAGGAGGGTTGGCAGATGTTAGCTCAGGGCTGATCTCCTCACAAAAAATAAATAAATAAAAAATAAATAGATATCAAGGCCTCTGCTTAAATCACACTTCCATGGAGAGGCCCTACCCTACACACTTGCGCACACTCTTCAGATCTAAACCAGGTCTACCTCATTTTTTTACAGCACTCTGTTCTTGACCTGCGTAGCCCTCTGCACGGTTGGTAATTATATGTTTACAGAGTAACTATTTGTTTGCTGTCATCTTTCCCAGTTCCACTGTAAGGTCCACGAGGGCTGTTAGCTTCACTGTCTTGCTCACCAAGCAGGGTGCTTGAGGCATAGACTCAAATGGCTGTTGCATGAATAAATAAATGGATTATCAATATGTTGGCAAGATAACCCCATTTTGAACCTGGGCGGTGGTTGGGCAGAGCTCTCTTGGCAGTGATGGTGAGTAACTTCAGAACTACACAGGTGCCACCGGATGACAGTCAGGGCTGCGACTATACCTTGTCCACCAGTGGGCCAGCAACCTCTTAGCCTCATTGCCTGCCAGCCTCCCCTCATCACTGTACAGGTCAGTGTTCCACTCTCCACTGACTGTGCTCTTTCAGCCCATACACTCCTGTTTTCAGCTGTCTGCCTGGAAGGTTAGAGGAGGCAGACAGGCAGCATGAGAAGAGTATATTCCTGGGCAGCAGGCTGACCTGTTCAGTCCACTTCCCAGCTGTGTGACCTTCGGCATGTCACTTAATTTTTCTAAGGTTTAGCTTCTTCATCTAAAATGAGATAATCATGGCACCAACCTCATACGGTTTTTGTGAGGAGTAAATGAAGCTCTAGGCAGAGTTTCTCGAGGATACTAAGTGCCTGATACATTTTGCTGTAGTTGATAGTGTTGATATTGTTGTTGTTGGAATACCCTTCAAATTATTCTTTTCTAGTCAGAATTCTATTCCTCTTTCAAGATTCTGTTCAGGTGTCACCTCTTACATCAGCCAGGTGTCATTTCATTGCAAAAAACTAAATGCCAATTCAAATTGGTTTAATCAGAAAAAGGAATTCATTGGCATATATAAATTAAAACCGTTAGGCAGCTTCAGGTGAGGTTTGATCCAGTTTTCCATATGATGTTAAAGCATCCAACTTCTCTCCACCTATCCTCTCTGCCTTTTGTAATTTTGGCTTTATCTTCAGTCTCCACAGAGAGGAATCCCTCTCATCCCTTGGAAGTTCCAGGCACCCCCTTCACAGGACCAGAATGGCTACAGCAGTTCTAGACCACACCCTCAAGAGACACCACCTAGTGGGGAGAAGAAGGAAGTCTCTGTTTCTCAGAAGCCCCAGCAAACATCCCCTTGCATCACTGCAATGCCAGTTTGGATGTGTGCTCCTCTCTGAAGCAAGGTCAGAAGAGTCAATGGCATGTTTAGATTGGCTTAAGCCTCAGGGCCACCCCTGGAGAAGGAGTGGTATCAGTCTCACCTAACCATGTGCCTGAGAATGGAGAGCATCGTTCTCTTAAAATGAGATCTGGACACCATTGCCCTTGGAAAAGGAGAAAGGCTAATAAAAAAAAAAAAAAAAAAAAAGAGCCAACAGATAATCCACCACTCTCCCCATGCAGGAGTGAGGGTTGGAGGGGAGGGAGAGCATATCAGCTAATGACTATCATGGTCCCTCCCCATCCTTTAAAAACTGCCCATTTTCTTCCATCCTACCCCTTGCAACAGCTAATCCAAATGTGTTATGTAGAGACCAGGTATATTGTTAAGAACATCAGTTGCTGTGCTGGGCTGCATTATCGCCTCGCTCCATGCAGAGAGCGGAACAATTTGTCCTAGCACTCACAGGCCCTGGGCAGCTGAGCTTGTATAGTTCTCCTGCCTACTTTTTGTAGACCTTCTGTCTCCTCCTCACTGTCAGGCTGTGAGCTGCCCCTTCTCACTGTCAGCCTCTAGCAAGTCCTCATGTTTCTCTGCCTCCCTCCCTCCTTTCTCACCCGCCCACGTTTGTGAAACCAGACGACAAAGGTTGTTAGGATTATGAGCCAGGTTGGCTTCCAGATTTGAGCCGGTCGGCTTGGCCCAACAGCCCGAGGCCTCATTTAGAGAAAAGTGCTTGGACTTTATTTTAATGGGCATAGTCCTTCCTAGCTAGACTGTGTGATAGTTAATTTTATATGTCAACTTGGCTGGCCCCCAGCACCCAGATACTTGGTCAAATATTATTCTGGATGTTTCTGTGAGGATGTTTTTTGGATGAGACTTACACTGAAATCAGTGGACTTTCAGTAAAGCAGATTGCTCTCCATAATGTGGGTGGGCCTCATCCAATCAGTTGAAGGTCTGAATAGAACAAAAGATGACCTCCCCCAAGCAAGAGGGAATTCGGCCAGCAGGTGGCCCTTGGATTTGAACTGCAGCTTCGGCTCTCCCTGGGTCTTCAGCCCACTGGCCTCCCTTGCAGATCTGGACTTGCCAGCCTCCTTAACTGCATGAGCTAATTCCTTAAAATAAATCTCTTCCTAGATATGTACACATCCTATTGTTTCTGTTCCTTTGGAGAACCCTGACTAATACAGTCTATCAGAAGTCTTCTTTGGAAGTGTTAGAGTCCCAGAGCTGGGCTCATAATTCAGGTTGGTATCATTCTGGAATGCAGGATGGTAACCTGATGCAGCACATTTGAGATATACGGAAATGTGGAACCACAAGGTCATTACTAAGCAATGTGAGCACCAAATGCCCCTCCCCTGAGCTAGTCCTGACCTGAACCTCTTCAGCTGGGACTCAGGAATGATGGACTAGGGGATGGGAGGGGCCAGGGTAAAGGCAAGTCCCTGGGGATGTCAGTTTTACACATTTGATCATTTTTTTAAAAACTGAAAATAAATAGCTTTGACCAGATCAAAATGCCATGTGTACTTCAGACCCAAAAAATGAGTGGTTTTTAAAAAAATTTATCGACTTCACTGATATCGTCATAAGCTTGGTATTAACAAGACTTTCACAATTTTTTTCCCTTTTCAAGATGTTAGAGAAATTTCTGCAATGTTCCAGGTATACCTGTGTCTTCCAATACGAAAGTTAATTCATATCTTTGAGACCTCTTAGACCTCACTGCAACTCTCTAGGTGAGTTGTACAGCTTACAAATTTTGTTTTCATTCTTAGAAATAAAATATAACTATTATATTTGTTATCACATATAATTATTCTTTATGAGTGTCTGCCAAGGCATTTCATGCATATTCTCTCCTTTTATCCCCAAAACAAAATAAAGTTTTACCTCATTTAAAAACGAGATCATAGGGGCCGGCCTGGTGGCATAGTGGTTAAGCACACTCCACTGCGGCGGCCCCGGCGTTCGCAGGTTAGGATCCCAGACGCG